TACAATACGAACATACACGGTTAAGATATTGAACTGACCTGAATGGAGTGTTAGGTCCTACTCTTCTGCACCTATAATTGGACTTGTGAGACGAGTAACTCAATGAAGTTTGCGATGAGGGAAATCTTGCAAGGGCAGTAGCATTAGCCTACCTATCTACCCTGTAGTATAATATGGTACAATGAGTATCACTACAATTCGAACATTGTATAGCTACAGGAGTGACCGAACTGAGCCTACAGCTTACTTGACAAGTAGAGACGGGATATTTTTGCTAGAATAGTTGCAAAAGCCTAACATAAATGATGAGTTCAATGCAATCTACTATGTAGTGGAATATGATGCATTGTTTAACACTACAAATCGTCATCATTTGTTCATAGAAAACCTTTAAATGTAAATAGCTGGTACAGTTTCAGTGACATAGTCTACCCCAAAAACCGTTAGAGAATACTAACTATCAACCGTAGTCTATCTGGCACAGTGTGTATGGCTGTTTTAATCGATTGGAATCACTGTGGAGAAACTGCGAGCGACATCTGAACACCATAGGGATTTTTTACAGACGTCTCTGACCAGCTCCGTTATGTACGGTGGTTTTAGATCGAGGATAGTATACAGTAAAAGTAAGAGTGGCAGTTCAAAGCCATTGATTCATAGATCACAGCCACTGTTTTTATTTATATCTCATCTCGTTTCCTTAATAGTAGACACCATACTGGTTCAATATCATTGACTCAGTAGTTGGTTATTGTTCTAGCGTTGACGGAGACTAGCTTTATGTGTCTTACGTTAAAGGAGATGACATTTAAAACATTCAGTAAGATTTCAGAAATTTCAGAATATTTTTTTTAATATTTCTGCATCGCTCTACAATTGATTATTGCGCACTATTTTAACAGTGGAATTTCTATCTCGCTCTACAATTGATGTATTGAGCACTCTACAATTGATGTATTAAGCACTATTTTAACAGTGGTATTTGTCTAGATTGCTCTACAATTGATGTATTGTGAACTATTTTAACGGTGGTATTGAGCCTCTATTTAAACAATCAAGGTACTATGTTACATAGTTTATTATTTATGTAAATTTAAAATATGGAAGAATTACATCTGTGACATGGACTAACCAGCAATTTCAACCATGGATTTACTTTCTGAAAGTTTAAACAGTACTTTATCAAAGTACGAAGAGATGATATTAGATGGTAGAATAAGAAGTTTAGGAACCTGGGGTTATTTTTCAACAGCTATTTATCTGACACTTATCGGTAAGTTTTCTTCATGATATTTGGCTCTTATCCTTGTCAAGGAAGGGAAGAATAATTTGTCAGTCATTCAGTCCGGGGGACTTACACGGCTGACGCATATGGTCGTTCGATAAGGCAAAAATCGTTACTAATCATGATTTTACATAGCTGGAATAACAAAATGCTTATTGGCATAGATCTGGCTTGGTAATGGCGCATTGTTTGCCATTGGTTTCATGAGGATAATATCCTTACTATAGAAAACCACCAATTTGATGTGGTCTCTCTCCGTATTTAAACTGTTTCGTCTAAATAGAAATATAATAAGTAATATATCCGGAGGGGCAATGGGGTGGGATCCTAATTTGAGTTAATGCAATTAGTCGATTGGCCGAATTTTTTCAAAGGGGCAATCAATTTGTCCTTCTTTGTCCCCCTGTAGCTGGTTTAAGCCGAATTATATATTAAAATGAATAATGATCGAATACACGTGTGTATCCTATTCTAATTTGTCAGCAGAGGGAGTAATTATTGCTTAATGAACATTTCCGACAATATCATCCGATATATCCTTTTTTTACCATAACAATAATTTAAATTAGTTCATGAATTGTTGTTTTTATTATAACATTCAGTTTTAACTATTACTATAATTACCTTGATATTTCAAATAAATGGGAGCTTATTTAAAAATAATTATGAAATTAATAATAATAATAATAATGATAATGATAATAATAAAAATAATAATAATAAAGATAATAATAATGATAAAAACAATAATAATAATAATGATGATAAAAAATAATAATAATGATGCTGATGATTGGAATAATAATAGTAATAATAATAATAATAATATTGATGATGATGATGATGATGATGATGTTAAAAATAATAATAATGATGCTGATGATTGGAATAATAATAGTAATAATAATAATAATAATAATAATAATAATGATGATGATGATGATGATGATGATAAAAATAATAATAATGTTAAAAATTTATTTATTTAAGTCTCACCGCCCATGTATACGGAGTATAAAAATATTAAAATAATAACAACATTATAAAAAGAACGACTTATGAGATACTTTAAAATTATATCGTAAAACTACATTCAATTAGACTGAAAACATCAATATACAAAAACAGAACTCATAAGGGGTCAAAATAAAGTTCAAGACTATCAAAACAAGATTTATAAATCTATTATAATTGATGTCTATAACTCATGCTGTTAGCTAATCTGAAAATGGACTGAGGATTACACTGCCGTCATTCAATAACTTCATTATCCTTTTATATTGACTTACACGCAACAATGAAATGGGAGTTTTACATCCTGTATTTTTTCTCCAGATGTAACCAAGTCCCGTAGCTCCAGGACTTAAACCGACCCAGGCCGACTTTGGCTTCCAATCGCATGAGCAGGAAATAGACTTAAATTCTGGCCAGAAATAGTAACCATACGTAAATCGATAAAATTTTCAGGCTTCACAACTATGACTATTTTCGTCTTACTTAGTTACTAAGTCCACGAAGACAGTCAAATACGGAAATCATTTGAAAACATGTTTATTTTGCAATGTCTCGGGTCAGGAAAATCGAGTTAAGAAATTTCACACATTTTCTCCCTTCTATTTTTCATTGACAAGCATCATAACTTGATACATGATAAAACCTTGATGTTTCATTAGTTGGAAACTATAATAGGCTTATTGGACACGTATTGATGTAATCAATAGTTGACAGCTTCGTCAGTCTAAATTAGGAAATTGTAATCCCCCATTATATAATAATACTAATCATGTTACAAATAAGGAGAATAGCGGACGAAACACTGAATGAGGCCTCAGAAATTCTTACCCTGAGGGGAATTCGAACCTACAGCACCAAATCACCTAACAGTAAACAATCTAATTCGGTATCGAAGTGTATAGACTTTCGACTTTTATACCTTTACTGTCAAGCAACTTTTAATGTCCACCTGATTTGTGTAACTAAGTCCGGAGTAATGGAAACTTAATGGCGGGAATAAAGGTTAGAAGTGGAAACTTGCTGACGACCTTCGAAATTGTGATATATAACCTACATCTTATATCTAATTGACAAGTTCTTATCAATGGGGGATCCTCTACGTCTTCAATCAATCTAATTAAAATACAGATCTATATGTTTTGGTTCGTTTCGTTATCTTCAGGTTACTACACCTGTCATTATTCCTTAAATCTAGTGGCTCAACTACCAGAGGGACTAGTTGAACTAAGCCCACGGGTCGAACGAGCTGCCTCCATTCAAGCCTCTGAAGGATATTTTGACAGTAGTCGACATCTGTCCAAATAGCTATCAGAGGCTGAAATAGATAAATATGTTTGGGTCTAGGGTCCGATTCCCTAGGAAAAAAATATACAAAATTCTAAAAGGTTAACATACAATATAAAATGTTTCAAACTTATGCTGGGGCCCTACCAAGGGCAATATCATATCCTTATTTAAGAAAATGAGACCCATGTCAGCAATGACTACCTTAGACCGAAACATCTTTCTCTATTCCAGCCTCTGATGGATATTTTGACAGTCGTCGGCTGCAGTAGCCGACATCTGTTTAAATAGCTATCAGAGGCTAGAATAGAGGCAAATGTGTCGGACTATGACTACCTTTGAGGGCCCTGAGACATGACAATTACCCGGTCTACGGGCTACACTCATTTAGTTGAGCCACTACTTTAATTGTTTTTAATCGAAAATTACCCAATAATATCAAAAGTTATAAGCAATCAAAAAAACTGTTAAGTGGGCTGGTAATAAATTTCAAAGGATAACAATGAAAATTCCCGAATTCCTCACACATAGTAAGGAAAATATTTACTGAACACGGGAACAGGGTATTTTCTTCGACGAAAATAAATAAATCAAACCAGAGACAAACAATCTGTACACTGTACCACGCAAAGGTGGGTTTTATGAGATGAAAAATGTATTTTATAGAAGAAAAATAAATCTAAAAACAGATGTGTTTCGACTTTAAAAAGAATTAATTTTGATATGATTAAGTCGATAATAAGCTTCATTATATAAAAAAGATTTAGCCATAGATATTCTCCTGACATCTTATATTGATTGAAAAGATCTGATTTAAACTGATATTATTTCTTAAAGGGACAAGTTCGCCATTTTGGGTTTTGATTCAGGTTTTGAAATCATACATATGTATATACATACATATACAGTACCAGAAATAATTCGTTCAAAAAAACAAAACAAAAAACAAAACAAAACCAAAACAAACCTCAAACTAGAAAGTTAACTTGATTTTATTTTCTATATATGGCAGGGTCTCAAGAGTCGTTATTTTCGACCATAAGCTGTGAACACTTTTACTTATTAGCTGAGCTGAAAAAAATTATGTTTCTGAGACTAAGATACGATTGGTCAAACAAATGGTACTCGTGTCATTGTTATTATAGGTGCACGGAGCACAAATTCAACAAACAATTAGGGGAAACTACTCGCCATATGGAAACGAACATGTCGCCCATTGCCCCCGATGTACCTGCGATGTCTTGCAAAAGAATCCCGGTTGGATTCCATTATGAAATAAATAATAGATTGACAAAATTCTAATATATCGGATTTGATCTTCTTAAAATACGAGATAACTTCGATGTAAACTAGTTATATCACGATTAAGCTCCGCCCACTCGCATATACAATTTCCGATATCATGTTATGAGAACTTATATTGGTTTTTTTAATAGGAGTAACAGCTACTATTGGTAACAGTTTGGTGGTTATACTTATTTTAACAGATAAAACACTAAAGAAAAGTCCGCACAATCTATTGCTGTTAAATATGGCCGCCTCAGATTTGGGTATATCTATCCTGGGATATCCACTAACAACTGCTTCTAATTATGCTGGGAGATATCTGTTTTCTGACTATGTTTGTGTTATTCAAGGATTTTGGTGTTTCACCTTTGCTCAAGCCTCTCTGAATACCACTATCCCTATCAGTTTATACAGATATATAGCAGTGTGTAAACCGCATCTAAGTAAGTATGCAGTCACATTTCTTTTAGTTTATTTTACAATCTTATTAAAAAGCATTTCTTCATGTAGCGTCTAGTGCCTTTTCTTTTTCTTTTTCTTTTTCTTTTAATGTTCAGTGGAATACCAATCAATCAAAAGCAGTGATAAAATTCTTTCTTTGATTGTGGCGTTTGAGTGTATCGTTCTTTTGATGAAGATTTACGTTATGTTTTCTGTGTATTTCTTCTATGAATCAGTCTAATTAGAACGCTTTTCTTTTTTATCCAGGTTATCATCTGACGAAGAGAGCCACAGTTTTAGTTATATTGGGAGTTTGGATCTACACTATAGCCTGGACAGCACCGCCTTTATTTGGTTGGAGTTCTTATACTTATGAACCATTCGGTACCTCCTGTAGTTTAGATTGGGGAAGTCCCAAACCACTTGATGTCTCCTATATTTATATTCTCTTTTTTTCCTGTTATCTACTTCATATCGCTATCATATCCTATTGTTATTATTATGTTTACAAGAAATCCGTCAATTTAAAACTGCATCCAGTCCGAGCCCCGATATCATACGAACATGCTGTTGAATATAAAAACTATCGAGCTGAATCCAAAATCACAACGGTAAGTACATGATGATTATTGATGTACCAACTAACGAACTCTGTGGACATTAAAAAATGAATGCCAAAAGTTGAATATAATCAAACTATCGTATCCGGCTATCAATAAGCATTGTCGAACAAAGATATTTCTGAATATCAGATTGAGGAGAGCAACTTGTTGATACAGACTAGCTATTTAATCATATTGTATTACACCCGGGGCCTTATTCTTGAAAACTAAACTAAGAAAACTTTTAATAAATACAGTAATCTGATTGGTAAATCAAACTAAACTTAAAATTGATTTTAGTGTTCGACCAATCAGATGACTAGAATAGTTAAATCATCTGAAGTTAGATATTTTAGAATAAGACCCGTGGTAGATAATTGAAAAAAAAATCTGGAAATTCATCCTGAAAATTCATCCTGAACAGATCAGACAGTAAATATTAAATTGAAAAGTCATCCTGAACAGATAAGACAGTAAATATTAAATAATAAATCATAATAATGATCTCTTTTTTCCCAATAATTAGAATTAGGTCAACTGGATTATATAGAAATGGTTCAAGCCCATGAAAAAAAAAGATCACGAGAATCTCACTATCCTTCGAGGTCCCATTTTGAGTTTTACATTTCAACATGGCGACTAGTCTGAAATTTCCGGGTCGAATTTTCTAATTATAAGCTTTTCGTATGACCATATTTTCTAAGACATGGAAATAATGTCACAACATAATATAGACGTTTACATATTTACGGGCTAAATTCAACATACTAACTTGAAAATTCAAGATACTAACTTGAAATCCAACATACTAACTTGAACATACTAGGTTGAAATTTCAAGTTACTAACTTGAAAATTCAACATACTAACTTGAAAATTCAACATACTAACTTGGAAATTAAAAAAAAAAAAAAAATGAATGGCCCTAATACGCTTCCGTAATTATGATTTAATTCTACTCATTTTTCATTTAGTAAACAAAAATAATAATTCACAAAAAAAAAGAAAATCAATTCGAGTTAAATCGTAATTCAGCAAACAAAAAATAGAAAATAGTAAACAGAAATGTTTTAATTCAGAAATTAAATAGAATTAAATCATAATTCACAAGAATTAGATAATTAAGTAGAAAAAAAAAATCATAAATAAAGTTTTTTTCAAAAAATATCCTAAACAAACCACCATACATATGTATCACGATTGGTAATAAATAATAGGATAATGGATGATTATGTCTCATTAGTCCTTAATGACGAGAACATTATTCTGCTGTATTTTAATGATGATGAACGACTGTGGGGGTGTTCGAAACGACATGAAAATTCGAATTCATCTTGTTTTGTTTCCTGATTATCCAGTTTCAATCTGTTATTTGCTCACACAATATTCTTAAACCTTTTCAGAAATCCGAGGCTTGATCTTAATCTCGGAGGTTTCTGACTGACATCCTGTCATCAAATACAAAAAAGTTAAAGAAGCACAGTATATATGGATATACTATTTCTGACATTTATCAACTCGACGTTTCACATGCTCATACAGGCAGCGTTATCAACAGTTCGTTGAGTTAATAAATGTCAGAAATGATATATCCATATATCTTGTGCTTCTTTACCGACTCCTATTTCTATATGCCTTATAAACAGTATACAAAAAAGTAGTAAAATATCTACAATCATTATTTTGATTATGCCCTTTTTCAGATGTGTGTAGTAATGGTAGTAGTGTTGATTATTGTTTGGGCCCCGTATACCTTTGTGTGTCTGGCGCTGATTTACAAACCAGATATACCAGTATGGTGGACAACTCTACCAACAATGTTCGCTAAACTAGCCAGTATGCTGAATCCATTTATCTACGCTGCTACAAATTCTACATTTAGAGCTACATTAACTGCTGTGTTTAAACGACCACGACGTGAGATCGTGGTACGACCAAAGATTGAATATAATAATCAAGGTGGTGGGACCTCACAGAACACAACAGAACGGTAAGTAAGTAGCAGGCGGCATGTCACGACACGTGCTTCAGAGAGGTGATACTGACAGTTGTATGACCTTGTATAATGACTCTTCAAAGACGTCTAATCCAGGTTTAAGACAATCTTAATTTTCTCTCCTGGTCGAGTTGTACAAAAAGTTTTATATCGAAAAAGCCATCTAGGCGGTTTTCAAGAATCAAACGAATCGTGGTATGCAATATTCTGTTTGAAACTCACTTCTATCACGGCAACTGACAACCGACTCTCTGAAATGTTCTTTATAAGTTAGTCAATATCTGCTGTTACATATGAAATAAGCATAATCTGTCTGTTATTATTTGGACCGATGGCATATTGTACAATTAAGCAAAGAGATCGCGCACATTTGTGGACGATTCAAAATGTAAACACAAGTACATGTAGTCCATTTTACTTCTAGATAGTTAAAGAAGTTAAGCTAGTTTGCATGTTTCCTAGCTCTAATTATTATACCTTAAGAAAATTAGACTGTTTTGGTTCAGTGTGACGCCTTGAAGCTATTTCGGCTAAATTATTGCCGTATTTCAAAACATAATGATCCATGAACCTGTTCTCCAGAGTAGATTAAACATTTCAATGTGTACCTAACCATGCTCTTTTTACTTCTAATAATGTCAAAAGAACACAAATTCTTTTTTTCAGTAGAACGGACAATGTAGGTGATATATTTATGGTGGACAGGACTAAAGATGGAGTTTATATTGGTCTCTCTGCTGTTAATATCGGCACGGGTCAAAGTTCAAGCTGTTCGATATCAAGCTAATAACGCAAACTCTGGTTTTCAGAAATTCAAATGCAGCTATTGATGGTATTTTGGCGTCAGGCGTATGTATGCGTTTCGTGCGTACATGATAAATGGATCCCAAGGATTGTACTAAACTCAAACAGAGTATAAATGTTTAATGACAAATGCGTGACTGAAAATGTGTGAAATTCCTTTGTCCCTGTCATTTAAACGGTGCTTATTTTAAAGGACGAAGGATGTGTGGTCTGGCTAAAACAAATATGACAAAAGACTTGGTTTTTACAGTGAAGAAGTCATTATCAAGACGTAATAAGCCAGTGCTTAAATAACGAAAAAATATAAAGAATTTCCGTGTCGTGAACGTTGATTTGGTTGATATCTAAGTCTGGTTTAGTTAGTGCCGCATTTTCAAAATTTCATTGAAAACGGCATAGCGTTATCCGTCCAATTTAGCATAAAATTTAGACGTAAAGACTTTCTTGGCAAACAAACTGTGCTTATACATTAAAATTTAACAGAATGGATAAATAGCTGTATGATTAGAGATTATTTCAATCACCTAATTCTTTAGTTTCCTTTCATGAGCTGAAATATACCTCAATCGTCAGACGTGAACTGTTGATTCGCCATGTCAAGCATGAGGATTTTTCGGCTAAATGTAAATTTATTAACTTCTGAGACTTATAAAATTATTAAACTTATACTTTACATTACATGAAAGATTTTATGGTCGACATCACGATATCCTTGAATACAATACATCTGGATTTCATCATATCAGATTTGCCAAACAATGATTTAAAAGGGACTACATCCAAATAAACATTTTCTTGGAAAGTTACAAAGCTCCAGAGCTGAAATTTGCAGAGAGTATCAACATTGGCTATCTGGACATCTGAGAAAAAAAAAGAACGCAAATATCTGGACCTTATCAAATCACCACCATCACCACCCCATACAGAAGCTAAATTGTTTTTTTTTTGTTTTGGTGCTTTGAATAAATTTGGACTTAAGTTAAACTTTTGTATTTTACATTTACAGCAATTAAATACACAAATACATAAAAACTTGGACCACTAAATAAAGAAAAATACAAAATGTTTTGTTAGGTCAATAATGTGCTGTATTTGTTTTGGTATACATTGTGAATCTATTACTAATCCTACACAGGAGAGAGAGTGCCTGCTATCATCCAGTTCCCCTTTGTCTACGTACAGCTTCGACAAAAAAGGACCTGAAAAGGTTTCTTAATATCTTTGTAATTGACCGAGACTACAGTGGCTATTAAATCTGATTGGTAGTAAATCCACTTCCGTTTTGGTGATAGGGAAAATAATTCAGTTATTATGACAATGTCTTCGAATTTTAATTCTTTGCTCGAAAAATCGATAAATATAACATCCGCAGAAAAACATCAAATATAAACTGTTAATTTGTTTCGATTGTAAACTTGAAGGTCGAATATGCTTAATTGTAGTCATCTCCGTTGACCTAATCTGAAAGCGTCGTAACAGAAATTTCAATAAACAATCCCAGACTATATCCTTGTCATAGACATGTATAATTTGGGCGTCAGAGACTAACATCCTAAAATGGATCGTTCCACGCAGGACATTCGTTAGGAAAAGGCAAACGTTGGAAAAGGTCTGAAAGCCATGCTCGTGATTATACGATGTTGACCGTGAAAGGTACTTGTTGTAGTTGGTAGGTCCTGAATCAAAAACTCGCGATTCCTTATTTTCTCAACTCTCTGTACAAAAATACCAATGTGGCGAAAAAACTTTTTTTTTCGAATTCCGTTGCGCGCCGATTTGCATGCGTCAGATAATTGGAAAAAACATAAAACCTAATTTAAGATAATTTCAGAAGAAAATGGAAATTTCCAGCACAATGAGCGCTACACGTTGACCTCATTTCGAAAGACAGGACTCAGAGCACTAATTACATTGCCATCACTTTCCATGTTAAATGACGAAATCTTCTATATCTTATTCCACAAATTTTGTTCAAAATTTTCCAATATGACACATAAAAAAGCCTGGCCAATACTTAGTTTTTGGACAAAAAAATTCAATATATCAAGACGATGAAAATCTTGAGGTAATCAAAATGAAAGTAGATCAAGGAGTTGTCTACTTAGATTTTAGTAAAGCTTTTGATATGTTAGACCACAAATTACTGGTAGAAAAATTAAAATTATACAAATTCCATTACAGCTCTTATACATTGATTCAATCTTATTTAAATTCAAGGAAGCAAAGAGTATCTCTAGGTGACTGTCAATCCGACCTCATTTCTGTAAAATGTGGTGTGCCACAGGGGTCAAATCTTGGTCCTCTCCTCTTTCTCATTTTTATCAATGACTTACCATTTCATGTTAGAAATTGTGCTACAGACCTCTTTGCTGATGACAGTACAGTACACTTTTCTCACCATAACTTAAATTGTATTAATGCCACCCTTCAAGATGATATGTTTAACATTAAAACCTGTTTTGAGGATAATGGGATGGTTATAAATGCTACAAAAACCAAGGCTATGTTAATTGGTTCCAATCTGCAAACAACAAATAACCAATTAGCATTAACTGTAAATAATGTACCTATAGAGAATGTTACTTATACCGTATTATTAGGCCTTACTATTGACCACCATCTTGAATGGGATTTCCAAATTAAAAAACTGTCAAAAATTATTAGTTCTAAAATTTTCCTTCTCTGTCAAATTAAAAAATGCATTCCATTAAGCTTACGTAAATTGTTTTATAATAGTTATATTTTACCATTTTTTGATTATTGTTCTACAGTTTGGGGTAACTCCAATAAAAGTAAATTAGAGGTTTGATACAAATTACAAAAACGCGCTGCAAAGAGTATTTTAGATAAAATACATGATTCACCTTCGGCACCATTATTCAAAATTTTAAATTGGTTGACACTGTATCAACGTATTAGATATAATCGTGGCATAATGACATTCAAAATATTTCGAACTGGACACCCTGAATATTTATACAATAAATTTACGGAAAGATCAAATTTAACGGAAACCAGTATGACACTGAGATCAGAAACACTCCGAACTCCGACATACCGAAATGTAATAAAACTGCTATGATGAGAACATTTCAATATACAGCTTCTTTACTTTGGAATTCATTACCACAAACTGTAAAACATAATCCTTCTTTATATACATTTAAACAAGAACTGAGGAAGTTTGTTCTTACTGACAATACTGATTAATTGATTCCATAGCATTTATAACCATTTCCTTTGTTTTTCTCTCCATTTCATTTTACTTAAAAACTTATACCATCATATATATCATATAAGAAACACAGTGTTTAAATTTTTATATTTTTCACCACATCCGTGATGCATTGTAAATATATAGTATTATATATTTTTAGTATATTGTATTGTATTGTTTTATTCAGCAAAGCAACTACTTGCTATAGCCTAATACATATCAAGATATTTTAAGTAAATAAATAGTATATGTACAATACACAACATATATTACAATAAATTAACAAAAGAAGTAAAAATAAGACACAGCATAGAAATAATATATATATATAAAGAAGCCTAATCTACTAATGAATTCCTTTGCATAAAAGCATCATGGATAGATCTACATAAATTAAGGATTGTAATGATATGGCGGATTCATTAGTTGATTCATTTTGTGAAGTGATGGAAAGGACCAGAAGCGACGATGAAAGTATTTACGACGTAAAGAATTATATTGAGGACAGCATAAAAGAAAGTGATACTCGTCTTCTATGTAGACAGATTTACAACAAGGGCAAGTTCTTCTATCTCTCGGAGTTTTGTTATACCTACCGACTTCAATCTGCAGTTTTAGATTACCAACGCGAAATTTGCACAGTAAGAACTTAAATTTGTCGTCTAGTTTAGAGTTAAGGTAGGACTCAAGTCCAAAATAATTTTAAAATGTTTATAAAACCTTAGTTTACTTGATAAATCTACTTCTGAAAACCATAACTGAACGTACTCATGTTCGATTCGACTTTTTAATTTATTAATATTTAGTAAGTTTGGATCGTGAAAAACAGAGGAAAACCCAGATTCATTTAAGATGATATTTTTAGTATATAATTCGTAGTTTCGTGGGGAAACATAGTGGTTACATTTTCATATTTCCTTCCTCATCCATGTTACATTATAAATGTTTATATGTTTTATGTTATTTTCTGTATTTTTATTCTTTCTGTAATCTTGTATATAATATGTAGTTTAGTGGGACCTATTGAAAATTAGACTTCTGTCTAAATGGGTTGCCAAATAAAGTTATTATTATTATTATTATTATACTACATTTTATCAACATCCGCTTGATTGCAATTGCACACAAAAAGATTATTTGTAAAATTATCCTTCCGTATGAAAATATCTCATGATCTCATAAAATCTGAAAGAAAATGCCATTTCTGACATCAAATTCCAAATCCAAAAGGGAGGGAGAAAAAATGATTTCTAAGAATAGGTTTGTAATCACAGTTACTTCCCTTGAGACGTGAAATCTGTTCAGTAATGTCAATTTGCACTGAAAAGACATTCAGGGCTTTTCGTTTTGTTAGGTTTACGGACACTGGGATAACGTTGTGCAAGTTATCATTAATGTTGAATATTCCAGAATACCACACAAGAGATGATAAAACTCTATTTGATTGGTTAGATAAGTAAATGCGAATATCATATTTTGTGGTCTGAATTTTTATTCTGATATAGAAATTGAGTTGTGTCCCTCTATACAACTCTTATAAGATTTAACGGCTTAAAACTAAAATATATCCTGTGCAAAACCGATTTATCAGCCTGGCATCAATATATCTGGCTAATGAAAAGAAATCGAGTTTTGAGTTCTACTGTCCCGTATCTTATTAGGTTAATGAGATAAGTTGAATTTTATCCCCCGCTGTTATAAGTCTTACTAAGATTTTAAAGTAAAGTGGAGGTTGAACTTCTACTGTTATGTATCTTAAAGATGGGTGTCCTTATTTTCTAGTGTTAAATTAAATTAGTATTTCTCATCAATTATCATGTATTCTTAATCATATCATTATGACATTATTGCATATAATTAAGAGTTTTAACCAATCATATATGCCCATGTATGTACAGTTTGGATAAACAAAAAAGACTTTTTGACCTTTTTTGATCGGTCACTCATTGGAATTCTGCTGGTAATTCTCTTCTAATTTAGCAAATTAAGAATTAATTATGACATGTGAGACAAACTGGTATTTTTCCAAGTCACCTCTACTTTCTTTTCATATAAGTATAATGATTTTCATATTCATATATGAAAATAAGGGAACCCATCTTTACCGTTCTACGGTTTGCTGAGAGATAAGAAATAAGATGTAAACGCCCTATGTTGTTTTACGTGTAGTCACTTTTGCTCTTCTATAATTGGGCAATAGAAATGGGCTAAGGGTAGAAATTCAGCCATAAATTAAACACCAATTCACAAATCTACATAATCTTTATTATAAGGCACTGATTAAAACAAACTTTCATTCCTAATAATATTACTATGCTAACAATGATGAAAGCCGATGATATTCTCAGTATGACCTATTTCAATCTGAATGACATATCACTATTCGGTATGACTTGTCACTATCCATTACAACATATGACCTTTGATTCCGACATATCACTCTCCGGTAGATATATCACTATCCGGTATGATATGTCACTATCCGGTATGACATATCACTAATAGGTATGATATATCACTATCCGATATGACATATCACTATCCGGTATGACATATCACCATCCGGCTAGACATATCACTACCCGGTTAGACATATCACCATTCGGCTAGACATATCACTATCCGGTGTGACATATCACTATCCGGTGTGACTTGTCACTATCCGGTATGACTTGTCACTATGCATTACGACATATGACTGTTGATTCTGACTTATCACTCTCCGATAGACATATCACTATCCGGTATGACATATCACTAGCCTGTAAGACACATCACAATCAGTTATGACATTTCATTATCCATCATGGCAAATGGCTATCGATTATGACATATCACTATCCGGTTAGATATATCACTATCCGGCTAGGGTTATCACTATCCGGTTAAGACATATCACTATCCGGTTAGACATATCACTATCCGGTTAGAAATATCACTATCCGTTATATGTGATATGTTATATGTTTACATATTTCTTGTAACACAATCACCAAAACTATTCAAACTGTCAGCGAACGAACCACAAACTCTTCTATTATATATATTTTACTATACAAGAAAATTGTGTTCAATCGCCGGAAGTTTGAAATCTCTCAGAGGCATTAAAAATACATTTCTTATAGATACAGTACTCTTTTATCCTTTACACTGAACATCTGAAGTTAAACACAAAAATAGAATGTTCGATGCATGTTGAAATAGAGCGTGATGGAACACTAAGTATGGTTTCTAGTTTCATGTGATTTCTATATGAGGAAGCCCATATGACAAATCATGCATGTTTTAAAAAAAGTTCTGTAGCTCGTCTATTAATGAGCCGGTTTGACATAGCGTTTGATGAAGATATACAATCTTAATACATAATAATATATACAATAAATACTGTGTTATAATTACTCAGGTTATGCTGTTCCTTATATTTGTATATTATATACAGTGAAACCCTTCCGAACAACATCTACTGCAAACCGACATACCCTATAAACTTACATTTTTGAAAAGTCTCGACCGTATCACTATATAATCAATATTTATAATCTATATCGATGTCCATTGTTTTAATGATTGAAAATTACTCTGTTGACATCAACTAACGCTTTTGTGGACCGACATTTGATTGGGAATTTAAACCTGTTTGGGTAGCCTATACACAATAGGTTTGGTTAAAGTAATTCCAATTGATAGCTTCCAGAACGCCAAGTTTCATGGTTTTTTTTATCTAAATATAAGACAATTTTCTTTTCAAGCACACGTCTGTGTATTTCTTCATCTAAAAAAAATCCAAAGGTTATCCATATTGTTGGTGTGTCAAAATGTTTCAAAGATCACACATAAATCAAGCACTTTAGTCATAAATATCAAGAACATAGATCAAGCACATTGGTTTTACCGATGAAAATAGGAAAATAGAACCCCATCACAGTGGTTTGTTTCTACGACCACGAAATATATCCAACACAATTTTTTTTATATTGTTTGACACTCATGCATCCCCAAAACAAAATAAAGACCTACTATAACACTGGATCAGAGACTTATATCCAATTCACGAGCTCCTTCTGATTGGGTGCGTTTCTTTTTACCTTTTGCTCCTGACATAGCCAGATGAAGAACAACTCCCATCACAACTAGAACAGTAACTAAAATCCCAAATAGACTTAACAACATTGAAATCTGAGTACGGCGCTCACCTTTTTTCATTTTACCATCACGAAAAGCTTGAGCAGCAACTAAGGAACAATAAATAGCCAATGCTCCCAGCGGCAGATTGAAACAACATGTGACCACAAATGCGACTGCTATATTTGTGTTAGGTATGGCCCTCGGTATGTCCTCGGCCTCAACGGGGGAAGTCTTTTCTACTGTGACCTTAGTTTCATTTCGTTTTGGCACGGCAACAACTGTTGTAGCAATTTCCTCTGTATTTTGATAAGTAGGTGAAGCCGTCTTCGACTTAGCTTCCTTTTTACGTGTTTTGTCAACCTTTGCATAAATTTCGTTCGGATTCACAACTTGATCAGCAGCATTTGGTTTCGGCATCATCACATGGGATCGCCCAGCACTCGTAATCACCGGTACTTCGCGAGTTCGGTTTTGCCAGTTGTCTCCCCTATTGCTTGGCGTGTTTGCATATATCACCGGTTGTTGGAGTATACGCGTTTCGTTCGAAGAACAGTGGATTGGATGCAGTGGCTGATCAGCACGGTTTGGTGGTAGGTTAACCTGGTGATATGGCACGGATGGTACATTCTGCATAGGAATATCACAGATAGGATAAGAGTTGACGTTAAATTTGGCTGGGAACTGAGAAGGTGGCGGCGGCAAATGGTGACTTTTGCTGTCAATACAACAAACGGGCGTCGTGGCCAAAGATGTATTGGTAGAATTGGTCGGTTCATCGTAATAATCATCGCTCGAAGTGTTATCAGTCGTATTCGCAACTATATCAGGTGTATTACTGCGACTACTTAACCGTCCACTTTTCTCATGGGCAGGTCGCCCATCCCGTTTTTCTGGGGACGGGGAAGTTTTAAATTTTTCCATCTCCTATCTACCACTTCTATTCTTCCTCATTGTCTCCAATCTGTAATATAAAACAATATTAAATTATTTTCATTGTTTAATTACATGAAATTCACAGGCACTGATCTCCCTTAGGGCTGTTAATATGTATCAGTGTCATGTTTCTCAAAAACTTAATTGTGTTTTGTCAATATATATTTTAATACTTTCGGCAAATTCTTAGTCGAAAGTCCAAAGACTTTTGAGAACAGGAAAGCAGGTTTGTTGAAACCTACGGAGTGCACATTATAGAACAGTGGTCTCAACCTGTTTTTGTATGTGTTCCCAAATCGAATCAGCATGAATCTATAATCTATATCTATAATTGGATACCAGGCACGTTCTCACATAGTTTGATAGTAATAATTCTCTGAGTACTTCTAGATAATGTTAATTTAGACTGTGTATAGTCCAGTCATCATATTATGAGATGTTGTATATATTGTAGTTGGAAAGTTTTTATTTTTCACAGCATGTGACTGGCTGTGACACATCAAATGTCCTCACAGGACCACCCTTTTCTCTCTATCTACAAGTACTTGAAACTTTATTTGCATTGATTTCTCATAATTTTCTATATACTTGCCCATTATGACGTCACTATCTCAACTACCATACAACGGATTAGACAAAAATGGTTCTTGTAGAAGCTTGATTGATAATCATACAAAAGTCAACACCAATATTTTGATGAGCTTTGAACCAATGTTTTCCAAAATGAAAATTATCATTAGTTCCTGTAATTCCTAAGAACTAACCCAAATACCAATTCCAGATACAACAGACACCTGTTCAGAACAAAATGATTCTAATGGAAACCAAACCAACCCTTTCAAATTGTTGCAAGCTCTGAAACTAATCATTTCATCAGCTTATCATTTCCCGATTGAATTTTAACCAGGTTTATTATAGATAGTGTCATTGATGTGGAAAAAGACAGGCCAGACAGAATGATGTGCCAGACGTTAATAAACTATACAAAGTTTTGGCAAGGGTATAAACGGCCAGTGTAAAATCAATCACCTATTGATAACTTGTCTAAAGTAAGAAAGTAATCATACTATGTGAAAATTTGGCACAGCCATACTATCGAACCTAGAGCTACCAAAGGGACAGCTTTTCGTGTATCGTTCTCTTATTTTGATAAATAGGTCTAGACATAAAAGTGAAACACTGATCTGTATCCGAATCCTTATCTTTGATGTCTCTCATTTCCAGGGTAAAAATTAATTTAGTTCGAGTTTCCTAAAGATATCCTCTCCCTTGAGCTATGACCAAATGCTTATATTGTCGCATATAGGTTCAAAATGGACCAACTCGCTCTGCTTTTAGTTGGCTTTTTTCTAAATTACAGGGAGAAAATTGACATATACCAATCAAAACTATTATTCAAATCACATGAAGAAAACTGACGTACACCTATCACAAATGGAAAACTGGAATTAACCTATCAAAACCATTATTTAGATCACAATGCGAAAACTGATATATACCTATTAAAACTATTATTTAACATAACATATAAATCGACCACCTCGTTTAGTAGGGACAAACCACTCCACTGGTCCTGCTTCAATTTTCAATTTTATCTACCACATTCGTGACATGACTATTTTTAGAATTATAAAATGAAGATGAACCAACTGCTGTAGAAGAAGAAGATAAGTTAAATGATGAAGAAGAAGCTAGATCACTGGATTGCTGCAATGATGTAGGATATAGTCCTAATGTTTTATCACGAAGTCCTATTAAATAATCGTCACTACACATAATAGTCACAAGGAGAAAACTGATATTTACCTATCAAATCTATTATTCAGATCATAAGGAGAAAACTGATATATACCTATCAAATCTATTATTCAGATCATAAGGAGAAAACTGGCATATACCTATCAAATCTATTATTCAGATCATAAGGAGAAAACTGGCATATACCTATCAAAACTATTATTCAGATCATAAGGAGAAAATTGATATATTCCTATCAAAACTATTATTCAGATCACAAGGAGAAAATTGATATATTCCTATCAAAACTATTATTTAAATAACAAGGGGAAAACTGACATATACCTATCAAAACTATTATTCAAATCACAAGGAGAAAATTGATATATACCTATCAAAACGATTATTCAAATCACAAGGGGAAAACTGAGATATACATATCAAAACTATTATTCAAATGACAAGAGAAAATTGACATATACCTATTAAAACTATTATTCATATCATAAGGAGAAAACTGACATATACCTATCAAAATTATTATTCAAATAACAAGGAGAAAATTGACATATACCTATCAAAACTATTATTCATATCACAAGGAGAAAACTGACATATACCTATTAAAACTATTATTCATATCACAAGAAGAAAACTGACATATACCTATTAAAACTATTATTCAGATCACAAGGAGAAAACTGACATATACCTATCAAAACTATTATTCATATCACAAGGAGAAAACTGACATATACCATCAAAACTATTATTCAAATAACAAGGAGAAAATTGACATATACCTATCAAAACTATTATTCAAATAACAAAGGAGGAAACTGACATATACCTATCAAAACTATTATTCATATCACAAGGAAAAAACTGACATTTACCTATCAAAATTATTATTCATATCACAACGGTGAAAAACCGTTCAAGACCAATATTAAGATCATGAAATTGACATATAAATAAATTGACAGTCAAAATTATTGCAATTAGGAAAACAATGGTTTATATGTATACAAGGAATAGTTTGGGTTATAATTATGCATATACATGTAATGTGTGCAATCAACTTGATGATGCTCCACAAGAGATAAGCATGCAGTATCTATACTTGATTCACTGGATATAACAGACAACTTTTGAATCAATTTCCTCATCGACATCCTTTCAAATATAACAAACAAGCTTTTCGATATCCGCCAAGCTCCTTTCATTAAAATAAACTACATGTAACCTTTCGAGAGAAGCAGCTCAAGACTAATTCATCTTGTTAAAGTAATAGAAACCGACAAGAGTGGAAAGGTTTTCCGATTCGCCATTCAAATCGATGGGATGTATTATAGAAGAGTAAAAAAAAGTCTGAGTGTAAAGACGAGGCAATCACCTCGGTATATTAAACATTGGTTTAATACGGATGTCAAAATGGAAATATTAAAGTTAGAATACTGTTATTTTTAATCTCGAATACGTGTGTGTTTGACCCCAGTTATAATTAGTCTATGTGTCAAATGAAAATTTCAACGCTCATTTATAGCAGAACACACGTGAATGATTCGTCACTCGAAAGTTATATATGGAATGATTGGACTGAATATAGCATCAATTTCCATCTGATTAACGTATACAACTCTTGAAATATATCAATTTAAATAAAACTTGTCTGAAGAATGTATATGGGGGAGGTGTCGAATCCCAATTCATATTGTATAAAAATACTCTTTAATTGTTACGAATTGAAACTAATATCTGTGTTAGAACACCTTCCCTTATTTAAAAATAGATGATACCAGAGCTTTAATCACTCGAAATGACGGGTTGCCCATATTCCCTATATTCTCATATTAATCACTAGTAATGAGCAGGTTCAGAACATCAAAACAAAAACAGAAATGGTAGATACGTGATATCATGAATATGTATTACCGCGGTCCCTAATACGAGGTTTAACTGCTTACGTTAAACACGGTAGTGTGTAATAATTTCGGAGACGATCAACAATATGTTTTATTCCATTCTCTAATACATGTACCTTTATTTGGATTTCAAATATTAACTGACGGTACAGAAATGCAGTGTTGTGAATTTGCCCTAAGGATTAATTTAGTACACGACAGATGTACATTAACGACATGCCTTCCCATTGTGACCAGCCAATCTGATTCAATAGGTGACGTGGTGAACCTGTTATTGTTATGAGAACATTATGATCAGTCTATGTATACCCATTATGAGGATAGTAACACCCCTAGTTTAACACTTACAGGCGAAATAGTCCCTTAAGTACTAACTTTATTTATCGAGAGCTCTATTCCACTCACAGAGATGTATTTCCAAAATGAAAATCCGACGATAATCAACTTGTTCTTTAAATGCAATCCAGTGGCCGAACTACATGAGTTGGGGACCTTGGACTTCAGTGAGTTGAGGACACTCTCCGGGGATTTGTTTTTAAAGGGGAACAGTCGGCGGTTTCGGGGATTGATTTTGGTCTTTATTGTGCTTTATTAGTCTTAAGAAGTACTAAAAGGCACGAAAATCGCATAATCCCTTCAAATATACCTCGAACTGGAAATTTCACTGTATATTCCTAAATATGTGTTTTCTATATATGGCATAGTCTTACTAAAATTCGAGTCTAATTTTTAACTTTCAAAGGTGAATAATTATGGATACACACGTAATGTGTCAAAAACGCAAGTGTCTCTTTACATTTCTTCGGTAACAATTCTTCAAATACAAATCATGCCCAACAAATGTTGCTTAACATTTCACCAAATACATTTCTCGAATATCAAACAGCGCCATCATTGTGAAACTCCATTGCTTACTTCAAGTATCTGATCAAACATGAAGTTGTAATCGACATAGCTATGATTATCTTAGTCTCTTACTTTGGGCGTAAAGTAGCCTACTACAAATATTTAGACCAATAAGACACTGTAAATACATCGTGAACAAGAGCGATAAACCAAGTAATTTTATTACCTTCCCCTGATTAAGGTCATCAGAGTTCTAGCGCTGATTAACCCTAAGTTTCCTCTGGTCTTATTATTAGATCACACTGAAGATAATGTCTTCCGCCTTTACAACTTATTCCTGGCTATATATAGCTAATTCAAGATGTCTCCTTGTATTTAATGGATATTTATATAATTCCCCGTCCAGTAACAAGATTACATCACTAACAGTAAACTATGTCACAGAAACAACGATTTTAAGGATTCATCTTCCTTCTGGTG